GGGGCGGCGGCGGGGGCGGCGGAGGGAAGTCGGGGGGCATTGTCATCTCGCCGTTCCGCCTGGAGGAGCTCACCAACCGCCTGGCCTCGCTGCAGCAGGAGAACAAGGTCCTGAAGATCGAGCTGGAGACCTACAAACTCAAGTGCAAGGCGCTGCAGGAGGAGAACCGCGACCTGCGCAAAGCCAGCGTGACCATCGTGAGTACCGCCGCCGCCGCCTCCCTCCTCCTCCCGGGAGGCGCCGCAGCCCAGAGGCCGGCCACCCCCCCCCGAGTTCCCCCTCGCTCCGGCCCGCACACCCCCACGGGAGACCCGCTGGCCTCGGGGGGGAGGGGGTGGAGAAGGAGGCGTCTCTCCCGGGACCACGAGGGTCTGTCTGTCCTAGTGTGTGTGTGTGTGTGTGTGTGTGTGTGTGTGTGTCCGTCCAAGACCCCCGCGGGGTGCCGGAGCAGACTCTTGGGGAAATCATTTGCAGCCACCCCCCCACGCCCCGTTTTTCGCCTCTAGGGAGGAGACTTCTCCCCGGGCAGGGCTGGAGACCGGCGGCGTGGCTGGTTTTGGGGGGCGGGGTGGGACTTTTCCAGCCCTCTCCTGCTTGAGAAGGGGGTACGCTCACAATCTGGGGCATCCGAGTCTGGGGAAGAGGGAGGAAGCGGGAGTCTCCAGCGGGCCTGGCTTGGAGAGCGTGCGGTGTGTCCGTGTGGGGTGCGCGGCCGAGCTCAGGCACCCAGCGGGCATCCGGGCGGAGCTGAGCCGGGTCGCCGGTGGAGGGGCGGGAGAGTGGCCGCGTCCTCGGGAAGTGTGTGTGTGTGTGTGTGTGTGTGTCCCTCCCCTTTTGGCTGTGATCGGGAAGAGGAGGGCGGGTTCGGGTCGGTAGCTCCCACCTTGGTTGGAAGTCCCTTCCTTCTCGCCGGGAGAACGCATGCTGATCCCGACCTGGTTGGGGCTCCCACCGGGATGGAAGGCGGCTGTTTGCCGTGACTCCTCTTGCTGAGCAAAGATGCATGGGTGTTTGGCTTCCTTGACGGTGGAGTGGGAGTGAGAGTATCTTGCTTATGAGTGCAGATACTTGAGAATTGGCCATCTGTTCTGTTTCTACCTAGTCTCAGGAGGTTCCTCCAGAAGAGGTCTGAGATCTGGTGTAGCCACGTTGAGAAAGGCCCCTATAGCGGTGATGAGGCGAAACAGCAGAAAAAGTACACTGTGTGCTCTCACCTAACGTCCCTGCCAGCTCCTCATCATTAACATGCAAAATCCCTGCACAGACAACCCTATTCAGATCAAAACAGTTTCCCAGCCAGCAGCAGAGAAGAAAATGTCAAGAAATCAAGGAGGATGAATTACCAGAGCTGCTGCACAATAGCTGCTTAGACCAAGCTTTCAGATAGGAAAGAGGGATCAGTGTAGGGATGGGTCAAGGATCATAAGTGGGACAAATTTAGGATGTCCCTGTGCCAGGGAAAAAGTCTCTAGTGAAGGTGTGTGTGTGTGTGTATGTATGTATGTGAGTGTGTTCTCCCCAATGCTGGCTGCTAGAAATCTAGATGGCATACTTGTGTAGATAGCAGACTTTGCCATCAGACTTTCAGTGTGATGGGCAGCCTAAATAGCGAATGATTGTGGAAAGGCAATTTGCATTCTCAAATCCAGTGGGGTGAATGGAACTGGACCAACATTCATGCTTCGGTGAAGTTCTTGAAGTGCCCTTTTGGTAGGAAAGGAGAGGAATTCGCAGAGGCAGGCACTTCTAAACTGCCAGCTTTCTTGGGAGAATAGATGGTGACTGACTGACTGCTTGCTGAGTGAGGTTTGAGAAAGAGCGGTGATGTTTTGGGGAAGGCCAGTGAGTTAAGGTTTGAATTAGCTAATGACAAGGTTAGCCTTTTTTTTGGAGATGATGAACCATGGAAAGCAGTAAAACTTACATGAAACAAAATCTCTCCCTAGATTCTTGCATGCAGTGAGCTAGCAATTCCCACTGATTTTGTTAGCTTGTTTGCTGGGGAGAGGTTGGAAGGGTGGAGAGTCATGAAAGGGTTATCTGTTTGACCCTTTGACCATATTATAAGTGGATTTGTAAATGGTACACAAACATGTTGGCTTTACAGGTTCATTCCTGGTGTTTAAGTTCAAAAGCCTTCTGGATATTTGGCCTGAAGACTGAATAAGGGCTTCATTTCTTAGTGCTTATTTGCAATTAAAATTGACATCCAACCAAATGTATTTGATGGAATGTTGTGTGACCTTACTGGGTAGTTTTTCTTTTTTGTTGCTGGTCCTGGGCCTTGCACTCAGGGCCTGGCACTGTCCCTAGGCTTTTTTGCACTCTACCACTTGAACCACAGCTCTACTTCTGGCTTTTTTGGGGGGGAGGTGTGCTTAATTGGAGATAAGAGTCTCATGGACTTTTCCTGCTCTTTATGTCTTTTAACTGCAATTTTCAGATCTTAGCCACATGAGTAGTAGCACTGCCATGAGCCATAGGCTGTCAGCTAGATTTCTTTTTGTACTAATCCTGGGGCTTGAACTTAGGGCCTGGGTGCTATCCCTGAGCTTTTCTGCTCAAGATAGCACCACTTCAGCCACTGATCCACTTCTACCACCACCACCACCACCACTACCACCACCACTACTTCCTCCTCCTCCTCCTCTTCTTCCTCTTCCTCCTCCTCTTCCTCTTTCTTTCTTTTCCTCCTCCTCCTCCTCTTTCTCCTCCTCCTCTTTTTCCTCCTCCTCTTTCTCCTTCTCTTCTTCTTTTGTATTAATTGGCAATAAGAATCTCACACACTTTTCTGCCTAGGGTTGGCCTTGAACTATCACCCTCATATTTTAGCCTCCTGAATAGCTTTTACTAATTAGTTTTAAAATAGTTTTAGGTGATGGTCTATTAGTACCAGAAGCTTCTCTACCATTTAGTATGTTTAGATAAATAAAAGTGCTTGTGGCTCACCCAGGTAGTTCCCTAGAAATATTTAGATAAATAAAAGTGCTTGTGGCTCACCCAGGTAGTTCCCTAGGAATTAATAGGTTCTAAATAACAGGAGCTAAATAACAAATGCAGGAAAGAGATTCCATTCAGTTTGTGAGGGTTTCCATTACTACTTGGGATACAAATTTGTGTACATGTTTGATGCCTACAAAGTGTGTTTGGGGTAAGTTTGACCTCTCAGGTGATTTTGAAGAAGTGTGTGTGTGTGTGTGTGTGTGTGATTGAAATGGGGCTGTGGATGCATTCCTTATGGCAAGGTGAATCTGTGCAATTCCTGACAAGTCTGACTTAAGTATTGCTGTTGATAGAAATTTGTGACAAAGCCTAGATATTCAGTTATGTGCATACCTTGCTAAAGTGTTCACTAGTTTGATGGGAAGATAGCACTGTAATCCTATTACTTGCCTTTCTCTCTTACTAGAATGTCTATGATATTTTATTAGAATGTCTATTTATGATATTAACATTTGTGTTAATGAGCACCTCTTTTCTGACACATAACCTTTCATCCATCCATTGATGGATTTTTGTTTTTCTTTTTCCTCCTTCCTCCTGCCCTCCTTCCTTTCCTTCATTTTTCTTCCTTTTCTTTCCCAATTCCAGGCTTGAACTTAGGACCTTGCACTTGCTGGGTTCTATAGCTAGTGCTGAGAAAGCTGAGAAAGTTTTTTGCCCAGCTCTTTACTGGTTAAATGGAGATGGAGTGTCATGGACTTTTCTGCTTGGGCTGGCTTCAAACTGCAATCCTCTTGGTCTCAGCTTCCTAAATAGCTAGGATTATAGTATGAGCCACTGGTGCCTGGCTTGTCTTTTTTTTTTTTTTTTTAAATAGACTTTATTTTCTAGGGCAGATTTAGCTTCATGGCAAAAATAAGCATAAGGCTCAAAGATTTCCCACATGACCCCTCTCCCTTCCGGTATAGCCACCCTGAGCATTCTGCCCCACCCAATCAGTCACAGTTGAGGCACTTATATTGACAAATATCGCCCAAAGCCTATAGTTTATATTAGGGTTCACTCTTGCATTTGTGTATTCTATGGGTTTGAACAGATGTGTAAGGACATGTATCTACCATTATATTGTCATACAGAATGATTTCATTGCTCTCGTAATCCTTTGTGTTCTATCCACTCATTTTGATCTCCTCCCTGGCAGCTGCTGACATGATCACCCTTTCTGCAGTTTTATCTTCTCAGAAGGTCACAGTTAGATTCATATGCAGCTCTTTTACATTGTAGTGTACATTTCCTCTGTGTTAGTTTCCATGGCTTAGTTGAGTTGTTTCTTTTGGTGCTAAACAGCATTGCATTGTTTGGATATAACCTTTTATCCATTTACCTACTGAAGAACATTTTGGCAGCTTTTATGTTTTGGCAATTAAAAAGCAGCTGTAAACATTCACATGTAGGGTTTTTCAGTTGCTTTGGGTAAATACCCAGGAGCACAGTTCCTGGATTGTGCGGTAAGAGTATGTATGGTTACTTATGTAAGAAATTGCCAAGATCTCTTCCAAAGTGGCTGGACCATTCTGCATTCCCCATCAACAATGGGTAAGAGAGTAGTTGCTCTTCCACTTTCATTGTCTTGAGCACTAGATGCTGTCAGTGTCCTGGATTTGGGTCTTGTTAATAAGTATCCAGTCATAGCTCTTTGCTGTGCCTCTTTTTTAGTCAAGTCCAAAGTCCAGTAGAAGTTCTAGCCAATAGTCTCTTCAGTCTAGAAGTGCTTAATTTGATCAAGTTGCTTGTTTCAGAAATGGGTCTGCGTTCCTAGCAAATGGATAATACAGGTAATGTAGTCTGTGGGGAACAATCAACTCTAAAAGGCCTCTCATCCATTGCTGAGGGCACCTGGGAGGTAGAGATGGCCTTGCTGCCAGTGCAGTGGGATTCATTGGAGGCTAAGAGGTAGAAGAGAATGTTTTGAGTGATTATCCAAATCTACCCATTAAACCATCAGTGGAACCAGGCTGCTGATTATAGATCACAATTTCTTTTTTTGGGGAGTAGAGGAAAAACAACAAACAAATGCTTAGTCACCCTGTAGGGTAATGTTTATGTGTTAAACTAGATCTGTCTGGCCTCCCGTGAATGAGAATGTGGCTGTGGATTATCTACTGGAGTGCAGTGACAGTGGTCTAGGATGCGTAGGCTCTGCCAAATTGAGGAAATGCAGTTGTGAGCAGTAATTGGATGGCAGCAAACTTTC